TCTTGGCTTACATGCCTTATGTCCCAAGCTCAGGAATATACACATGTACCAGTTAATTTGTAATTGGGTACATACAAACATCTGTCCTCTTTTCTAAATGTTTTTGTTACTTTAAATCTGGGATTAAGACTAATAGGCCTTGTGTCTTATGAATTTACATGTACATGGAATAAGAGTTATAGTGTTAGTAATTAACTGCTTCTATACTCTGATTAACTAAGATGTTTATGCACATGGGGTTACCACATATTATAACTAGTGACCAAGGAGGTGAATTTGTTAACTTGAACAAAAAGCTGATGGGCAAACTTGGAATAAAGCATCATTTGACAACAGCTTATCACCCACAGGTATACATTTATATAGTGACCGCATGCATGTGTTTTATTTAATAATATAATTGATACAGGCAAATGGTCTAGCTGAACGTTACAATCAAACTTTGCAGAATATGCTTATTAAGTATGTTAATCACAAACAAGACCAGTGGGATGAGTATCTTGACATGTCTGTTTTTGCCTACAACACTTCACTACATCATTCAACTCACTACTCACCATTTGAATTGATGTTTGGTTGCAAAGCTACGTTGCCAATCGATTTAGATATGAAGAAAGACACTAACAATGAAGAGACAGAGAATCAAGATAATCAAGATTTACAAGAGACTGAAGAAGAGCTTACACCAATGGATGCTGATAGGCTAACAGAAAAGCGAAAAGAACTGATTGAAGAAGGAAAATTGAACATCAAAGAGGCTCAAAAGAAACAAAAGGAAGTGTATGATCAAAAGCATGCTCGGCCAGAAGGTTTTCAAATTGGAATGAAAGTGTTAAAGGAAGATTTTTGTCAAAAGAAAAGGGCCAATGGAAAACTAGATGTGAAATACCTATGACCTTACATAATAACAAAAGTGCTGGGAAAGGGTACCTATTCTCTTGAACTAGCCAATGATTCGTTGTAGCAGATTAAGAAAGTCAATGGAGCCCATGTCAAGCATTATGTCGCTCCAATTTCATCGCCTAATCGAAGCGCAATGGTAACATATAGTTATTAATGACTTTAGTAATTAACCATGTTTATTTCTTGTAATGACTTTAGTAATTAACCATGTTTATTTCTTGTAATGGCTTTAGTAATTAACCATGTCTATTTCTTCACAGGAAGTTTCCTTATCTCCCTTGTGAAAAATCCCAGCAAGATCTTATAAGGTTTTTCATGATTTCACATGATTATACAAGAAAACATAAGATAGTAATCTTGTAAAATCTTAACACAGAAATTCTTGCAAATTCTTATTTAAGATTTGATAAGATTTGAACAACCTGTCAGATCTTGTGAGATCTATCATAACTATAATTCTTGTAAGAATTTTAAAGATCTTATGAATAAAGGAATATGTCAGAAAATGTAAGATCATGCCTCACAGGCTTAAATCTTGTAATACCACACCTTGTAAGAACTAAGATGATCTTGTTAAATTGAAATCTAATAAGATCTTACAAAATCTAGTAAGTTTATGATCTTGAAGAATCATCCATGATCACACGACACATAAGATCACTCATTAAGTCATAAAAGATCTTGAAAGATCTTACTAATTGCATGACGTCACAGGAAGTGGTAGACAACCCACGATAGCCTTTACGATAATGGCAGTATATAAAGAAAGTAAAATTTCAACATAAATAAGTCAAAAAGTTAATGAAGTTCACATTAACCTTCACATCATTAAGTAATTCATTTATGCAATGTAAGATCTTGCTCAGATCTTACTGTTACATCTATTTTTCATAAGCTGAAACTTCATGTAAGAACTCAGCTAATATTTTAAAATCTTGATAAAGCCTCAAGATCCCATGATACCTTTCATGTTCTTTGTTTCAAAATCAGGTAAGATCTTGCTGTGATCTTAAGGTAAGATCTTGCTGTGATCTTCTAAGAATTTGGTAAGATCTTGCTTACATTTTGATAGCAAGATCTAACACTATCTTACATAATCTTTGTTTCAAAATCAGGTAAAATCTTGTGAAATATTAGCAAGAATCTTGTTAAGAATTTTAAAGAAACTTAACAAGAATCTTGCTGGGATTTTTCACAAGGGCTGGTAAGGATTTAGCTCATACTATCAATGAAAATTTATTATTATCACAAACATCATTACAGGTAACAGCTGGTACAATGTGCATTACTTTAGGCAATGTTCATACTTTATACCAATATGTAATAGCAACAAAACAATCCCACCACTGCCTCCTCCTCTTTCATTTGCAACAAAACTTACTAAAGTACAATATAAGTTGCATATACAAATTCAATGAAAATGGATTTTTAGGACTCTGATACCGTAAAAGATGATTTTCCTCCTGCTAAGAAAGGATATGTATTTGATAGGACATCATATGAGGTAAATATAGCAAGAATAATATAATATTATTATTCACAGCAAATTCATTATTATTATCATCATCATCATCATCATCTTTATTCTTATTATTATTATTGTGTGCAATTTTTATAATTATTGCAGTCTTCCACATCCTCCCAATAAGGCTCATCACCTGTTCCTGAGCCTAAAAGTGTTACTCAAGTGTCTGAATCTGTTCATAAGCTAAATCTATCTATTCTTCAGGCATGACAATATAATATTTAAACTGCTTTTAATATTTCTATAATGATCATTATAGGATACTTGGGCAATAGAATCAGTGGTATCTGATGAAATTTTATCCAGTACAATGATTAAAGAAGCAGGATTTATTCCACCATTTTTTCCTGAGTTTGTGCCAGCTGTTTCACCCATTACAAAAAAGCCTTATTTGAAAGAGGTTTAATTTAACCTAAGTGTTTGAATCTTTTTGATTTCTACATAAGTCACGGCATCGACGAACAATGTACTTATTCAGGATTTCCAAGTTAAATGTGATGAACCTAGAAAGAGTAATGTAGTCATGAATAAGACAGATAGGAAAAATAAGGTAAATTACAATGTGCATGTCTTTACCGGTGAATAGATGTCATGCAGGGAATTTGTGATTATTGTTATTTCTAAACAGAAACTGTATGCACACCATTTTTATAGGAGATACCTGGACCAACTGATGTTAAAAGTCTTGCTTCCAGACAAAGAGAAAGACAGCGAGAGTCGAAACAGACAGCTAAGAAAGGAAAAGAATCCTCAGAATTGATTGACGTAGAAGCAGACAAGGGAGGAGCCTTTAAAGTGGGTCGACAACTTGCTAAGAGATGATGAGAAAGTACTGCTCAATCCAAATGAATGGCTGACAGACAAATTGAAAGGAATGCTACCATCAAGTTCGTGGTCTTCAAAGTGTTTTCCTTGGCCTAACCTTGGCATTGAGGTCCAAAGAGAAGAATTTGTTCAAGTGCTGCATATTGCAGGCAATCATTGGGTGACAGTGTCTACTATTGGATATCACAGCTGTGGTGAAGTAGATGTTTTTCACAGTATGTCTGCTACCAATACCAGTGGCCTTCAAAACCAAATAGCAACTTTGCTTTGCACTGAAAGCCAGAATATAATTTTGAGCTTTGATCACAATTGACTATACTTATGTATAATGTTTTAGATACAGGCAATGCCAACAGCAAATTGGTGCTTCAGACTGTAGATTATTTGCACTTGCTTTTGCAGCTGTTTTAGCATTATGAAACCATCCTAGTGCTTTTCATTTCAATCAGCGAAAGCACTTGCATAATTGTTTGGAACAAGGCCGTTTCTCATCTTTCCCCACAAAAAGAATAGGAAGAGAGAATGGGATTGGCTCGCCGTACCTACTAATTATCAGTATATTACTACTGTGGAATGCCTGAAACCTTTTCATCACACATGATCATGTGTAACTGGTGTTCTGAATTGTTTAACCTAGATTTATGTGTCAAAGCTCAAGATGGGTGTGTAAAGAAGTGGTACTGTAAAAAAATGTGCAAGTGCAGAATAGTTGTGTCAATTGTTCATTAAAAATTAATATCTCAGTTTTATTAAAGTGTACAAATATTTGTCTCATCTCCTCAGGTCTGTAGATTTGTAGTGTGAGCAAAGTAGATTTTTGACATCTAGCACTCAAAGTTGGTTGATAAAGTTGCTTGTTTTCGTTTGAGCCATTATAGTCTTGTGAACCAACTAATTGTTGGCTTTCAAATTAGATAGAACCACTTTTGGCAGACTAAATGTAGTCTTGGGGGAAATACTAGGTTTGACATTTATGTTCCCCCCCATAGGACTTCTTTTGGCAGGTAGGGACTAGTTTTAGCAGCACAAAGTAGTCCTAGTAGGATCATATTTGGCTGCCAAAACCTGTCCAAGGACAGATTTTGGCAGCCAAATTTGATCAGGAGATCTTTTTAAATGGGAACCATTTTTGCATGACATAGCAGTGAGAACATGGAGATGGTGATGTAGTGGGAGGAGGAAGATGATGTGGCAGTGAGAGCAGAGTGATGGTGTGGCAGTGAGAGCAGAAAAAGTGGCAGTGAGAGCAGCAAAAGTGGCAGAGAGAGCAGGGACATCGTAAGACACTGAGAGCAGGATGATAGTGTGGCCGTGAGAGCAGTGACTTTGTGTAGCAATGAGAGCAAGGAGATGGTGTGCAGTGACAGCAGCAAAATGGGATGGCTGTAAAAGCGGGGAGATGGTGTGGCAGTGAAAGAAGGGAGATGGTGAGGCACATAGGAGCAGGGACTGGTGTGGCAGAGCAGTGAAATGGTACGGCCGTGAGAGCAGGGAGAATGTTTGGCAGTGACAGCAGGGAGATAGTGTGGCACTGAGAGCAGGCAAATAGTGTGGCAGTGAGACCAGAGAGATGGAGTGGCAGTGAGAATGAAAAATCATTACAGGGGTTGGGTAGTAATACAACATTGATTTTATTCCATAATCAGCCGTAACTAGTTAATTCAAATTGAATACAATAGAATTACTATAGTCTTAACCTATCATGTTAACTGAAGTGTTAAACATCATTATGGCTAGCCATTCACTATTATGCTTTCAACAAACTTGTCACATAATAAATAAAATAAAATTTAAAACAAGAGATAAGGTGCTGTAACTAAGATAATAACTTGAAACAATTACGTATATTTTAATGTCTTTGTACACGTACATGTATGTACTGTGGTGAAGTTAGTGTGGCAACTAAAAAGGTCTGAGTGTGCATGTAAGGTTTCTCAAAGTCCACTTGTTACTTGTTACATCATTGCTAAATATTTTTAAATAAAATAATGGCTTCAATGATCCTTTTGTATGAAAGCATGGTATGTAGTGATGGAAAGGTGGTTTAACATCAGAGTGGTTATGATTTACTATTGATGATGGCTTCAATGTTAGATGTAGTACTGGGAATGATGATGGCTGGAGGGAACGAGGAGGTATATCATGCAGTTCAAGATTTGTTGTTTTTTCAAAATGCACACCCCACAAGTAGACACCATATATAAATAAACCGTCAGCAGGTGGATCACGTATCTATAATAGGATAGACAGATAAAAGGCAAAATAAGGACAATCATTCTTGTTTCTGAAGTACTATAAAAACCTTACTTGCCCCAATTAAGACACCATTCTAATAACTGCACCTGCTCGTCAAGATAATTCTTTTGTTTACAGGTGTATTTGCGTAGTTTCCTATGCACCTCTCTAAACAATTAACTCCTTGAGCATATTATAACTGTTCCTATGTAAATAATGCATCACCTGAGACTTAAAATTATTTATGAAGAGGTGCTTTAACCGGGGCATGTAGGGTAATAAAACTTAGTTCCTGTATTACAAGCTAGTACTAGAGTTATGCAAAACATTAATTTTCGCCTACATAATAAGCCACTCACTGAAGCTTTACATTCTAGTTTCATTTAACTAAAGCCCATTCGTGTTTACCTGAGCCCTTGTTTTCTTGCAATAACTTTTGACTTACAAGTTCTATTGAAAAAAAACATACCAGTGCATTCCTTTCCTTTTGCTGCATATATCATAATACTTAATAAGCAGCTATAGTTCTTTAGCTAAAACTTAGTTGTATAGCCTATGCAGAAAATACAGCCATACTTCTCACAATATTATTGTATTGTTAATCATTGAATGGGGTCTGTAATCACTTCCTGGGCTCAGGTGAATGCAAATAGTCTTTAGTAAACTTAAACATACAAGAACTGTAATAGGTCACTTATGTATAGAAGTAAAAGATAGGATTAGATTTTACTAGGAAGAATGCAGTGCCTTATTCGAAAAACCTCAGAAAGCCATAGATTATGTGCAAAGCAATTGCACATGTCTCAGACCAACATTTAGATCATGACTAGACACTAAGCAGTCACTGAAAACAATTTAATTTTTAAAACAATTGCATCAATGTTTTGCCAAATGCTAGGAAATAAATAGTTGCAGTACCTGCATCCACAGCACAAACAGTATTGCATGCAGTTCATCATTGCATTCAACTTATCAAAGTCCTATATGTCAAAGGCAAAATTGACTCTATCCCAACTTTTCTCACTTCAGTGGGGCTTGCTCAGGCTCATCCCTGCTAGAAACTTTTTGTTACAAGAAAAAACTACAGTTGAATTTCAGTTTTCTCAAGAATTGAATGAAATAAAAACATTAAAAATGAAACAAGTGTAACAGTGTAAAAAATATTCTTATAATTGATTTCACAACCTTGCCAGTACAGCTTGATTTTTATTAAGACTTATACAGGCTTTCTCTACCTTGTGATGCTTGTAGAGAAGTCTTTAGACAGTATCTTTATGTTCTCTTGCTGTTAGAAAGCTCATAACTTTGTCCATGTGTAAGCCGCCATTTTGTTTGCCGTGGCCACACCCACTGCATAAAGGAGCGTGGGCAAGTGGTTGCTAAGGCTTATAAATTATGTTATTTCTCCAATACAACATGTATAGAAAAAATGGAAGTGTGGATATACAAATATATATATATATATATATATATACAAACATCGCACAGGGGTGAAATCAATTATAGGAACAACCTGGGGACTACGCTCCCAGGTCGTTAAAAATTGTAGGGTTGCATTGTGAAAAAATGAAAAAAAAAGAGGGCGCTTGCATAAGACATTCTACACCACTGCAAATAAAATATAACCCAAGTCATCATTCACACAAAGGCAGCACTATGAAGCCTTTAACATTCATGCAATGGTCTAGAATATTTTACCATACCAGTTTGTATGTACCCTTTTGTTTCCTTACTTCAAGTTAATCCTACTATTATCCTTTTTTGTTCTATATTTTTTATACATATTTACATGTATATTCCATAGCTAGGTTAAAGGGTAACTACTCCCTAAAATTTTTTCACCTGAAATAAGTTGATAATAAAGAATGTATCATAGGAAAAATAGCTAAAATTGTAAAAAGTTCCATTTCTATACTAAATCTTGGGCCAAAAGTTGCCTTGCACCCATTATTTTAAATCACTTGCGTGGTCACAAATTGTACATGTTTTGTCATTGCATGCAACTTATCAAAGTCCTATATGTTAAAGACAAAGTTGACTATATCCCAATTTAGCTAAAATTATATATGGCGTGGTCACGCGATGACGCAGATGGGGAAAGATTAACAAGTTTTTCCATTGAAATATTAGCAGCTTTAAGGCTGGATTGCTCAGTTCTCTGAGGAAGAAAGCAACTTTAATGAAGTGGACCATATAGAAATAATCAAGAGCAAACTACAAACAGTAATACTGGTAACAAAATATATCTATTTGTAAACAAATGCTAAATGACAAAATTTATACTATGACTGCATTATTTAGCTCTGTATAGCTTCTTATAATTGCACAAATACCTCTTAGCTGCTTTCTTGCATGCAGAACTTAGAAACTGAGCCTTAAATTTGCCAATATTACAATGCAAAAGCTTGCTAATGTTTCCCCATCTATGTCATCACTTGACCACGCCCGCTACCAGAAGTGATTTACAAATTGGCTGCAAGGCAACTTTTGACCCAAGATTAAGTATACAAAAATTGTACTTTTTAATAATGTTAGCTATTTTTCTCATGACTCATTCTTCATTACCAACTTATTTCAGGCCAAAAATTTTGAGAGTAGTTACTATTTCATTATGTTCAAGCTAATCACACATGCAAAAATTAAAATGGTATCAAAACACAAATATACACAGCTATTAAGTTAAGTTTTGCCTTCCTCTTTTTCCTATGTTTCCTTTTTGAAACTACTTTCGTTGCTTCACCAAAGCAAAAACTAATGATAAAAAGCCAACTCAAACAGTTCTCCAGTTTAAAAAATACTGTGGCAACAGAAAATGGAAGAAGGAAAGCCTGACAAATTGTGTAGAAATTCAAATTTGGCCCTATTCCCCTAAATTTTTTCCGCAACCTTACAGTCCACTTAAACAGTACCAGGAAAATTTCTCAGTAAAGGAAATCTCATCTAAACAGTTTATTATGTTTATTATAAGTGTTTGAAAATTGCCAACTTAAAAATCCTACATACACGCTATCACCTATAATAATAAATTTAAAAACCTACTAAAATCAACTCATCAATACTGTTTCAGTACCATGGAACTACAACACTATAACAGCTGCTTACGTGGTCTTTATCTCTGCTAGTGAGTTCTCCCACAAATACAACTCTTTCATTGCCCAAATGTGACATAACTGAATTCTAAAAACAAAACAATGTGGATTGTACAGATTAGCCACAACATTTATCATCCATAGTACCTGGTGAAATATGCTTAATAATGATTGTGGATTAAATAACGCTCCAAGCCAATACGTAGATGTCTTTTCTAAACCCCAAGAAATAACTCTATCAATAAATGCAAATCTCATGACAATATCAGCCAGCCACTCTTTAAGATCCCATTGGTCATATGGAGGAGAAGTATTGCCGAATAATTCATACCAGTTTTTAGGTACACTAAGATTAACAACTGATACAGCAGTTTGTACAAGATGAGGTGTCTTGATAAATACATCTCCTTTTGATCCTCTTAGATATAAGTGCAGCATCTGCAAATGAATGGGAAATAACATTCTATGTATCATTTCTCGCTCATATCTTACTTGTAAGTCTTTAGTTATTATTTGTATCATTCTATTCAAATTGGTTGCTTCTTTTATAATGAAATTTCCAAAAGGTGTTGCATTTGTATGATATTTACGTAATCTCTCATACAATACATCCTATTACACAGCAGACATGGGGTCAAGTACATTAAAATGTAATGTATTACAATTACTAGTACCAGAAAAATTTTTATATTACTATTACAATTACAATACTTGAATAAACTAAAGTAACTATATTATAATACTACATGTATTACTTAACATTTAATTCCTATTATTATCACTATTACTTTATTATTGTAAGTGAAGTATATTATTAAAAAAACGTGAAGGTACATGTACATGCCCAAAAAAGGTCTGTTGATACATGTTCTCTACATAAAATGACTAAACAACTTGAATAGAATCAGGTGTGCCATGCAGCTCCTCTTGACAGTGGTGCTGACAAACTGATACCAAAAATTTCTGCTAACTGTCAAGTGCAACACGTGTGTAATGAGCACATTATATTGTAATTTCTATTCATAATTACTATTACTAATAGTCTATTTCATATTACTATTAGTATTACAATAAACTTTGTTTTTTTCAATTACTATTAGAGTAACTTGGGGCTATTCCAACCCATTTCTGCACTATCATCTAATTAAACATTCACAAAGTCATAACTCACCCATCTTTGCTTTATTTCATTCATTTTAATGGTCAATGGGTTCTATTTTGCCTATTCTATTTGTACTTTCTAGAAATCAGCAAAATTCAGCTTAAGGTTTTGATGAAAACAGTACTTTCACTGACCTATTTGTTAAGGCTATTCTGACCCTACCGTGGCTATTCCGACCCTCCGGATACTAACTAGTATACTGTAATTTATGCAGTGACCGGAGATATACAAAAAAATATCAATAGACGATAATAGGTGAAAAAGCTAATGAACACAATTTTTTAGCCAGAGCTGCTTAGCCACATTTTATAAAGATCAAGCTGTTCTTTTGTGCTTATAGTTAGATAATTCTATGCTGAATAGACATGTCCTTGTTTCAGTCCTGTATCTGCTATAGTTATTAAGTTATAACAGGACAAAGAGGACACTCTAACTGGGGTTATTCTGACCACTGCACACGAATTTTACATAGGAGGATGGAATAGCTTTGACTTACTCTATATTGCACTATCACATCAATATTTTGTAATCATTACTATTACTATAACTAGAGTCTCTTAGTATTACAAACTACCCCATGTCTGTTACACAGACACAATAACTACATGTACAGTAGAAGACAGTAAAAACTTTGCGTTCCATTTACGTTGAACTGCAATCAAACTGTTGCGGCGTTTTTACTTTTATTATGGTTGTTCCATATATGGTCTGTTGGGTCAGAGCACTACCATTTTTGTCAGCATTAACACAACTCCAAGCATTGCTCAACTCTTCTCCTTTCTGTATGTTTCTTAAGGAGTCAGACTTTCTTACATACACTTACAGAATGACTATAAACCATTGTTGCATGATACAACAAAACAGGTAAGTCGTGAATGTAGTGACATGCATTATACAACTCAACCACCTTAATCTCATGTTATATGGTTCAATACAAAGACAAGAAGTAAGGAAGGGTGCTCTGTCAAGCAAAGAAGCAACTATTATATTATTATCATTTATAAAATGAAATCATGTATAATTATAAACCTGCTAGTACCAAGATCAAACTGCAAGACGCTTGAATCTTTTATAAATAAAATATTATAACACAAGTTTAAGAGTACAATAATGACAAAAATATGATAATGATACTGAGAGCTAACGCTTAATACAAAATAAATTAGCAGTGAATTAGACTACAATGAGCCTGGTGGCCAGTCGTAGACTCCTCGAGCCTGTCTTCCAATGTCACGAGTACTTTACACAGCATCTCCTTGAGTTGAGGTCCAAACTAAACTGATATGACCATAGTATCTCCAGAGTGGCAGTAAAGAATGGGCAGAGTAGAATCTGCGGAGCAAAGAAAACTAAGGAGGCAAGGACACAACGTTAAGCAAACTTAAAACGTGCTCCTTAGCAAACGGACCATAAACAGAAGTAAACGTTTTTTGTACAGAGTTGAACCATCCAACAGCTGTTCAACATAAATGGAACGGAAAGTTTTTATTGGCTTGTACTGTACATGTACATGTATAGCCATTTAGAATTAAACAGAAAATTGTTACTATACAATATTACTTAACTCAAAAATGTACTTAGCAAAAAATCAAATAAAAAAGTACTAACAAAACAGTGTGATCTCAAACTTCAGTAAAAAATAAGATTATTTTATGAAACTTAAATGTCTTACCTTCTTCCAACCAATAACAAATCCATCTATTAGTTTGGTTACATTGCGCAGTAAACCAGTATGTAAATCTTTAGACAGCAATGAATCATTAATAGCAGTTGGGATGACATCAACTCTTGTATAATCTAAATGAAAGCTCAATACATTAATCGGCAGGACAATGAATGACGGAAGTCTATCTAATATATGCACAGCTGCAACTGGTCCCTGATGATATCCTTTTTTTCCAGCTGATGACATTACACTCATTGCTGACATTGCCTGTGGGAATCCACGAGATGAGACACCAGTTGTTGTTATCAGGGATGGAGTGAGTGGAATAATAGACAGAGTACTGCATGATTCGTTGGACTCTCTTAGCTTATGGAGATACCGAAGAGTAGAAAACAGCATGTCCTTCCAACCAATTTGTATCTGAAAAAAACAAATAATATAAATTATGTCTTCTATTTCTCTCCTCATTCCTGTCACTCACATCAGTGGTATTATGGAGCCCACATAGCATTGAATTAGGTACTAAAGGTGGTGATGCATTCTCAACTGATTGTATCAGACTTGGCGTCCTTGTGTTTGGTGTAAAAAATATTGTAGGTACATGGTACAAACCTGAATAATAAAATACTAAGTGAAATATCATGCAGCTACATGTACAGGCACTTATAAGAACATATACAGTCTAACAATTGATTGTTATGTACCACTTTCTTTCTTTGGACCTCCTGGATGAAACCAGTGCTCAGTTAAACCAATAAGAACCTTGTAATCAACACAACTAGTAACCATAGAACCATATATAACCTAAAAATCAAAGACAATTAATGTATTTTAACATGCATGTACTTGATCTTAATGATATGCATGCAAATTTACCACCACTATAATAATGTACATGAACAATTATAGTACCTCAGTAATCATATATCTGATGCCACTCCATGAAACAGGAGTTAAACTCAGCCTACCACTGGAATCAAACTTAACAAATTCTTTTAATATAAATGTAAGGGCATCCTAAAAAAAACAAGTTATAGAGTGATATGTACAAAAAAATTTTTCACATGACTTTTGCATGTACGAGGCATATATATAAATGTAGGTTACTGCAACATGCATACATGTACATGCAAAATGATGCATTAATTATTACATTGAGATGCATGTACGTCCATGGATACTCATATTGAAATGAATATGGATAGAATTCTTTTCTCAGTGTAGCTACAATGTGGAACAGAGACAATGAGTGTAATAATGGCAGCCATTCTGTTCTTGGACTTAAAGATATAATATCATCCTGACCACACAATAAAAGAAAATCAGTCAAAGCATTGATAGGTAACTACATGTAAGAGAGATACAAAATTACTTAATATTTTCATTTAAGATACTGACCTTTGGATAGTCCATTGCTATCCTATAGCAATACTTCAGCAAAGTAGTTGGAGTATAATTGATTGTTTGTATATCAATTGACAGCCACAACCTCCCACCTAGTGCTCCTATTCCTTTAATCTGTCTCTTTTTTAATATCTTGATTATATCCTCCATTAACAAAGGACATTTGTTAATTCCTTGTAATACTACCCATTCATTCTAAAATAACATACATTAATTGTATCTCTAATAAGGTAACAACCTCATCTAGTAAATGGTTAATTGCATCCATAAGTTCTTTTATTTCCTCAAATTTTGAGTCACTTTCAGTTTTGTACAATGATAATTTAACCTATCAATAAAGAATCATTACATGTTCTAACTGCAAATGTAACCCCTTCTACTTAATTTCTCTATTTTTTACCCAATATACCTGGTTTCTATTTGCAAGATGCTGGAGTTTAATTAGATATATTTGTGGATCATTCTTATACAACAATAATGGGCACACAGTGCTGGGCAATAATTTAACTGTTCCATGAAAGTCAAGATAATTTGGACTATAAACAAATGAAACAACAATTGATGGGATCACTTGCTTTGTCAATACCTTAATGGTTTTAGTTCTAAAACTGTAGCAACAAAAACTAGGGAAAATTGTGTAATTCTTTCAGGTCTAATTGCCCACTGTAAAAGAAGTAGCTGTAGCGGAGTCAATCTATGAGAGATTAATTAGATAATGATGATGATATTGTACAAGTACAGTAGGTAAACAAACTTTAATCCAATGAATACAGTTTCAGGATGAGATCCTTCACTAATTGTTCTCCAAATTGCTTCTTTACCATCTCTACCAAGATTATTTAATATAGTATGTATCCATTCAAAGTGTGACGCTATCAACTGAAGAAAAAATTCGAAACTTAAAGACATGTACACGTACATGTATACCGTACAGGACAAAAAAAGCTAAGTAGTGCACAGTAGTATACACAGGTAGTTCGTAGGTAGTAATTTCACCTTGCTACTCTTGGTTACCCATTGCTGTGCTTTGCCCAGGAAGTACTACCGTACGGCCCAGTCAGACGTCCCATAGTTGCAAGCGCTAATGCACTCTAGAGGCTTTTAAAAAATGTGAGGAGGCTTCTTTTAGCTGTTTGTGCTCTCTACGTTCATCTGTACTGCCGCTTTCTGCTTTGTTTAGGGGGTTCTTTGCTCAATTTTACTGTCCAACTATGGTCTTGCAGCTGACCACCTGGACTATTACCACTGATGGGTTTGCACATGCACAACTAAGGAGCAGTGAACTACCTATGCAACAACAGAGTAGCTACTTAGCTTTCTTTTGCATAGTACTGTATATACTTTTAAGCATAAGTTATTTATACATAAATGCATGTACATGAAAATATACAGAACATGTACAAAACATTTACAATCTTATTTTTTATCACAGTGAGTACTAGCCTACAGTTCAAGAAAAAAGTCATATGCAGCACCATAAAAAGGTGCATACATGCACATGTGCTTGTTGTGTCACTATATAAAATTATTCATTTAGAATTCTGACATGATTGGATGTACAATGTGCATGTATAATGTACATAAACAAATAATCATGAAATAAATAACAATGAGGTGAAAGTTATATGTCATGTACATGTATACGTACTTATAGAATAGCCCACAGGTGCATCAAAGGCCCACCCATGCTATATAACTCAAACAGTACACTTAATTCTGTGATACAGCACAATTTGAGGTCCAAACAGGACAATTTGGGTTTCCTGCTATACAAAACTGTGACTACCTTCGAGTAGGTAGAGAAGTACGAGGTAGAAGACTCCACAAGCAGATAGTCTAGATACAGAGTTTTTTGTTCTTTATTGGACTTGCCACGCTTGCGTAGGCGGGTACTAAGCAGTTGGGTTGTCATTCTGTCTGTCTATCTGTCATTCTGTCACGGAAATTCCTGTTAATTCCTAGTCAATATCTTTTTTACTGAGCTCTCCTGAGTTATAATTCTTTTTAAGTTTTGAGAAAAAGATAATTTATTTAGCTCCATTGTATTTTCATAGCAATCCGTGGTAGCAAAAGCTGAATATTTTCAAGAATAGACCACTTTTCCTAGCCAAATCTTCGTGTTTCACTCTATTTGGTCAAGATTAGCATTGATAGGTACAGAAAAGTACCTAGATTAAAAAATATGTGGGGATTTTCTAATCTCTTTTTTGTTTGCGAGGTACAGTTGCTCAAAGTTTGTGATTTAGCCTCTTCGAAAAATTTTCAGGCAGCACTGGGGAAATCAAGAGCAACCAAACTATCTCAGTCTCTTTTAAATATCTAGGCAAATTTTTTGTGCTTACTCTTTCTTTGAATAGAGCTTCAGATGCTAAAATAAAATTCAGCTTTTCTTCTTTCTCCTACCCACTTGCCATGTTTATCTGCACTGCACTGCAGTACTGCTAGGTGCTGACCACACCTATAATTTATTTTATGGATCAGTGCAGTAATTGGCTAATTGGATTGTTGCACTTTGTCAAAATCTATTATCCTTTTTTCAAATATCAAGTTGCTTATATATATATAATATCATGATGGGGGCAGTACAAGTAACACATTATCTCTCAGGTGAATCTCAGCAGGCGAGTCCACGCACCATGGTGCTTCATTCTTCACTTGACCTAGGGTTGGTGCCTCTGATGCACCCATGCACTATGACCATAAAATAGTTAAACTGTGGCGTAAGGGAAATACAGCATGGGGAACTGTACCTTAACTAATAAAAATAGAATACATGTTGTAGCAACAATGATTTACCAATAGTTTTTGCCATTGATCTTCATTCATCCAGTCAAATGGTTTTCTACCAAAATTAACAACCGGAAGGTTCTCAAAGGGTAACTGATTCAGTAAACCCCTAACTATATACTTCGAGCCAGGTACAGGATTAATGAAGAAATCCCTCTCTTGAGAAGAAGCTCTACCATGATCAGCTTCAATCTATAAGGACAAAGACAGAAAGGCAGTAACAAAAATATGTGTACATAATGCAAAAGTGACAGGAGGGACGTAGATCAAGGAGAAAATATGAAGAGCAAAAAACAAACAAGAAATTAAAAAATTATGGTAATGTGCTCTATTTTGTCACACAGAATATCAATATCAAAACAACTAATTATTATTGCAGAAGCTTGGCATTGAATGTGCGGTCAAATCTACAATTTCTTAAATCTTAATTTGCCCAAGTACAGCAGCACTGCAGGCTATTTGAAATGCTAAGATTGAAATTGATGTCTTACATTAAGTGCTAATAATAATGAAAAAACTTGTTTATCCATTTCCATGTAACCCTTTTCAAAATGAGAATGACCAAATCTTGTCAATTTTGACAAAGCATCCTCTCCTTGCACACGCCTACATTAAAAAATAAAATAAAATATCTCCCAATAGTAAAGGTGACTTACGTTCCTGCTTGCATTATATAGTTTTTAAAGACATTTAGTGCATACTCCATTGATGTGCAGTAAAGAGGGTGAGCATGGCTCATTAATAAAACTGTATTTATAATGATGGCTGATCTATTGGCCAGTGAATTGAATGATGATAATTGATACGTAGTCATATCTTTATATTGTTCTCTTGACTGCAATAAACTAAAACAATGGAAAAAGAATATAAACTAATTCCATACTTTAAATGTTACTGTATAGCTCAAAACATTTAAGGTTGAAAACTTTCACAAATTTTGTGGTTAAGGTCTCAAAAGTGAAAGTTTTTATTGCATAAATTCAAAGGGGTATGGTCATGTAGGAATGGGGCTTGCCTCAATAAAGTGAGGACATGTATCTTTATTGTCTCCCAATTGGCTTTTATCAGCTAAACCTCAATAAAAAAAGACCAAAACCCTCTTGCAGTCATGCTTTTCATTTGCCTGATGCTGTGGCAGCTGCTGACCTCTCTCAATCCTCAAGTATAAAGCTGCTAGCCACACCCTCAATGAAACAGACCTAGGCCATTTGCAAAAGTTTTAATCGCGAATATCTCTCTTTCCAGTCATTCGTAAGAGTTTTACTTTTGAATCATTTCAGCAGTACGGTACCTAATCTATACACAGGTATGTACATGTCCTAGTATCCTACAAAGCCATGAGATAAAGGGGCCACGTTGTGGTACATCACTAAAAACTATCATCTACTCTTGCTAAGATCATATGCAACTCCGAGGTTAATAATGGTATATCAGGCAAAATCAAGAGGGTCAATAAAATAATAATAAATAAGGTCACTCAATGGAATAAGAAAAAGGACCTTGTAGACTTTCTACCTTTTAATGTATGAATGAGGATGCTTTTTTCAAATACCAGGCAATTACTTCAGTTCATTATGGGTCTTTATGTGGCTTCTACATATAGGTTAAACCATGTCTGAAGGTGTCCATACTATTTGGAACCCGAGGGCGAAGCCCGAGGAGTTCCAAATAGTGTGGACACCTTCAAACATGGTTTAACTCATTTAAACTAACCGTGAAATATTGATTGTGCCATACTACGCATGTATAGTTATGCATTGTGTGTACATGGGTTATTGTTACGATGGTGACAATGTGTTATTATTGCGCAAGACTAGCGGGCTCCATGCTATTTGGAACCCTCATTAGTGGCTAAAACATCAAAGCGAATTATACATAGGTTAGTTTAATTCCTGGTTACGGTCCTACGGACTCACAATGCTTGCTCAAAAAATCATTTTCTGTTAAAATCACATGGCTCCACTTGCAAATGTCCATTTATAATTAAAACAAAATGTGTAATTTGCTATGGGAACTATTTAGCTTTTCGGCCACTTCCAGATAGTTTATTACAAGTTCATGAATATACATTTTGCACATGTAGGCAACTAAGCCCAGAGGTCCATCATTACACCTTTCATAATTTGTTATAGGTAGAGTTATATTTGCAGCTGCAATTATTCGCATTTATATAAAATTCAATCAAAAAATGTAAATCGTTAGAGCATTGTTAAGACAATAATCCACATGTTTAGATTCCTTAGTAGCTTTAGTGGAGCCATTCACCAATAGTGACTTGTTCTTGATCTGTTATCATTTTATGGACCTCTACCTATGAGCTTTTTAGTCTCTATGCTGCAAACTGTTTGCTGGTCCGCATAAATGAAAAGAATAGGAAGCTCTCGTTCCTCAGAAATCAAGCAACTTAACCTAGTTATGTCATAAAAGCAGAGCAATCCGGACACTAGTATACTTTAGCTGTTATTGTTTATAGCTACTATGGGTGATTAGCTAGACTAGGCCCTGTAATAGCAAAAGTATACTCTGCTAAGACAAGATAATGGGCAAAAGCCCAGAATAACTTAATTAACAGTCTATATACAGATGGTACACTTCATTAAACACTAGAAGATTAGGAGTAGTAAAATTTTCATCATATCAGAATTGATAGCCACACAATTTTACTTATTTCTCTTAAGGAGTTGATTGAACAGTGTTGTAACTAAAGTCAATTTGCATTAACCTGAGCCCAAGAAGTGATTTCAGACCCTACCCAATAAGTAACACCATGCAATAATATTGTGAAAAGTATGGTTGTACTTTCTGCATGGGTTATACAACCAAGTTGGAGCTAAAAAACTATAGCTGCTTTTTTAGTATTACAATAGATGCAGCAAAAGGAGAGGAATGCACTAGTATGTTTATTTTTACAATGAAAACTTGGAAGTCAAAAGACATTGAAAGAAAACAAGGGCTGAGGTAAATACAAATGGACTTTAGCATCATTAAGAGAGAAGTTGCTTGTCATGAAGAAACAAGATTTGCAAAGTTTAAGCAAAAATGTGTCACTGTAAAAAATATTTTGTTTAATAAAAATTGTCTGACTTAAATTTTTGCTCAAATCATTCACAGAATACTTGGAATCACTGCAGTCTTTTCATAGATTTAGGAAGGTGTATATAGTCTACTTGTCCAGCTAGTTTAAGTCTTAATGGAGCCAATGTAGCTAGAAAATAGTGCTGTAAACTTTGTTATAATTAGGCAACCTAAAATCTTTGACTCACAAGAGTTGTTTTTTGAGCAAATCATAGACAGGGGTGCTGGGCATTCGCCAAAGGGTCTAGCACTATACTTACTTTTGCTTAATACATTGTGATGGCCCGGTGGTGCTGGGTCTTATTTTATTCAGGTAAATCTCCCCTCAAAGTTGATGTGTACTTCCAGATATCATGTAATTAAGAGCCTACAACTGTACGTGTTTCAAATATTGAATAATTTTAATTATATTCTTAACCAAATTGACAAGGAATTGAATTATATCAGTGATGTAACGGGTAGTGAAGCCATAAGGACCTTTATAGACAAAATTACAGTCTCAGGGTAGACTATAGATTCTGTATCTGAAGTCTCTTAGTCATTACTTGTTCAAGAAGTGGAATAACGGTGAACAAATAAACACGAAAAGTTTATCAGTTTTTTAACAATCAATGATGAGAACACAAGTTTTAGGAATTATTCAAGTTGGACCACCTAAAGAACAGAAGTCTTTAATAGGGGCTTGCTTTAAATCTTTATTTAAAATATTGCTTTTGAAATACTGGGGATCAATGACATAACAAACGAGTACTTCAACTTTTTTAATTCCTAATAAATGCAGGAGAAGAAAGAGCCTCTATCATGTTATTTTTGCTACAGCATAATAGTGTTGAAACAGCTGATTTCTTCAAAGTATCATAAGACATTGCAATCACTAACATGCATAGATATAGGTGAAAATCAATGCTGCATAGCTGGAGAGAGCAAGTCTAATCAGGGGTAACTGCTAGACAACATCATAATTTCAATAGAATAATCCACCCACGCAACGGAAGCTTTCAATCCCTTTAATTTACTATGGCATGCTGGTGATAATAAACCACACCCAAGTCAATTAACACTAACTAGAATGGGTGGAGACGGAGAGTCTCAAGATACGAGACTGCTTCTAAAAAGAACTGATTAAAGCAGCTACAATAATACCAAGGGATAGTAACACAAGAACAACTCAAGAACACTGCGGCAAGGTGCTTTGCTTTAATATTACGAAGTTTTTAATTAAAGTAGCATCTCAGTTTCCATAGTATTTCATTAAAAATTTTTTTACTGCTAATAATTGTAGCTGCAAATCTATAGTACATCAGACCCGAGAATGATATTCATAATCACAAAGGGATGGCTTCACATCATTTGAGGGTATATACATGTACATGCAACGTATTGTCTTGGTATAACATGTGCAAGTAATTACGACAACTGATTATTACTTGTAGTTAACTAAATGAAGTACAACACTAAATTAACGTCCATGCATATACAATTGTACATGTATGATGTACATGCATAATGTACATGTACATAAACAATTAAACACTAAAATTAGGACAAACATGTACTTGTACAGTATGCGCCGTAAAAATTTCTTACTTTTCCTGTGAAAATTCAAAGGATTTATTAAGTGACAGTAACTTGTTAATAGATTTTGCCTCCATTTCCATTTCACCATCGTTACCCAATGCTATAAGTAACTGCTTATTGACACTAGCACACTTCAATATGTATGAATAAATATCCTAAAATAACGAAGGACAATAAAAATGTACATGCATAAATGTACCATATATTCTAAAATAAAAGCAGAGTGCAAATAATCTCCGGAATAGCAAAAAAATCGACCTATATACACACAAATCTAGCCTAAATATAACATGGTTGCCTTGTAGATAATTACTTATAGGCTTCCTGAAGTCTTGTATGTGAAGTCTCTGGTTCACATCTTGCTGTCTCATATAATTTTAATTTTAATTTTAAATTTATTTCGAGAACAAAATAATGCTGCTTTTTGAAATAGATGCCCCGCTTCTAATTTGCAAAAATACAGCACTTGTAAGTACTTGCATGTGTACATAAATACATGTACATGTATATCATATATTTACTACACTTTTGCAATTAAAAATTAAAACCTCATTGTTGTATACTTTACTTTTCTCAATTGTGCTCTTTCAAGGAAAGTCTTAATACCCTGAGTCTTTAGGAACTCATCAATTAGACGTGAATGCAATCCAAGGCTTTCAGGATAAAATAAAACCACAGAACAATTTGAAGACAGAATTTTGGGTACTGATCTTGCTCCAGTAACTAATATGAGCCTAATAAAGAGCAAACATAACAGTATAAAAATATTCCTATAATTATTTTCAACACCTTGCATTCACAGCTGGGTTTTTATTAAGACTTACTGAGGTTCTCTATACAATATAATGCTCCTAAAAAATCATTCAGACAGCATCTCTATGCTTTCTTGCTGGTAAAAAGCTTATAACTTAGTCCCATGTGTACGCCACTATTTTCTTTGCCGTGGCCACACGATACTTTACATATAGGATGTGAGTGCAGCTGGTTGCTAAAGCATATTAATTTCGTAATTTCTCCAATACAATGTGCACAGATAAAATGTAAGTGTGGATATATGGTAGGTCGAGATATATTCACGGTAATAAAAAAAACCAAATATAAACCATGGAAACGTATAGGACACTGCCATGGCTAAATTGTATCCAGCTATTGATCTAATCTTCAGCAGCTTTACTGGAGCCATTCACCAATAGCGACTTGCTCTCTATTTATTAAATTCTTGTATGGGGCTCTACCTCAGAGCTCTTTTAGCCTCTTTGCCACAAATTGTTGCTGGTCCATGTGCTGGTAATAATGAATCACACCCAAGTAAATTAACACTCACTAGAATAAGTGGAGAGTCCAAAGGTATGGCAAAACAGTATTTCTGACAAGGACTGGTAAAAGCAGCTCCAAAGACACCAAGGATTACTAACACAACAACAACTCACGAGCACTGAATTTGCTTCAATATCACCCTGTTTTTAATCAAAATAGCATATTTGTTGCCATGGTTTTTTAACTGAATTTTTTATTACCGCGAATAATTGCAGCCATTACATCCCAACCTACACTATATGTAAACATATAATTATAGAGAGTGTGACAATGAAAAAAATTATAGAAGTGACCTGGGGCCCTAACCCCCAGGTCATCAATAGTCGCAATAGTACACAAGTAACATGTACAGTAATTGCATGATAAAAGGGAGGGACAGATTAAGCAAATAATGACCAATGCACAATATTAGTACCTAAATTTGTAGCTGCAATCAACTTCTTTACCATCGATCTACAAAATGTACAAAAAGTAAATTAATCTACTATATAAGGTGGTCTGTCAAATACAATACAAACCAAAAAAAGGCTATGTAGTATAGTGAACAGTAGCAAAAATAAGTTTGTAGGAGTATTAGTTTTACTTTGCAACTCTTCACTGCATTACCCTAGCACATCTACTGTAGTAGTAAACACTCTTAATTTTACAATTACTACAATCTGTGTTGTCCCAAGTCCATTTCTACTGCCGCTTTCTACACTTAAAAACCAATTTTGAGCAATTTTCACTCCATTATAATGACAAACTACTACCTGCCACAAACAATGAACGTCACTATTACTTCTATCTACCGTCACATTGCAAATTCACAAAAAAAGAGGAGCACATTAGTTAAGTAACTGTGGAGTACATTGTAACTACAGTACTTGCCTTTCTTGGTTTGTACTGTACATGTACATGTACATGTATGTACAGTATGTACATGTACATGTACACTGTACTTGTACAGTACATGTACATGCATACATGTATGTATGGAGGTATAAATTGATAAGTATTGACTTACAACAATTTTTAATGGTTTTTTGATAGATAGCTTTCGTCTACAGTTAAGTACAGAACTAAATGTATTATCCCTGGTAGATCCCAAATGATGCACATCAACATTATCAACTATTAATATCTTGCCTTCGCTGACAGCTTGTATCAATACATTACATAATGATGTATTCTAAAGGACAAAACATACATATACATGTCCATAAAGAAATTTAGCAACTCAATATGTATTTAGTTCATTGTAAAATGTACCCAAAAAATTAATACATGTCATGTGTCATAAAAATAACCAAAAAAATTAAGCATCACTTACATCATATTGTGTCACAATAACAGGGGAATCTTTGTTCTTCCTCCTGTCTTCACCTTCTCTGTTTTCTCTCTCAAAATGAGTTACCAACCAACTAACAGACATTCCAAGAGGATCAATAACCAATGGCCATTGTGAAGTATACTCTGATAAGATATTGCAAGCAATAAGTACAGTGTGATGATCCATTGGTAATTCTTCTAATGACAAGGATTGATGTTGAGCTGGTGTCAGTAAAAATGATATCAATGACTCCATTGGATTACAATTTGTCGACAATGAGTGAGGAGAACATTCAGTGCATATGTGTACTAAAGACTCTTGTCTATAAATAATAATAACAAATAATACTTGTGCTCTAATAGATGTACATGTACTAACAGTGATCTAGTTGGTATTGCTCCACAATAAGTAAGAAAAGCAGATGCTATGATGACAGTGTTCAACAACATTTCGCACATTGGAAGATCATTTAAAACTTGACCCCATTCCTCCAATCTTGAGTTTAAACTAAAAAGTAAATAAAAAATTGTCACAATTCAAAAAATTGTGATTTTGAAGTACATGTACATGTACATTTACATATCTTTTCTGTAACAAATTACAAATGGATGTAAACTTGTATAGAAAAGTAAAAAAACTGGGAATGATTTTTTAAAATATACATGTATGGAACACCAACTTTTAATAGCCTATGCTTATAATGCAATTTAGTTCTATAGGACAGATTTCAGATATACAAACAGCTTAAGCAATATAAATTCAATAAAAACTAAAAGGCCAAACAAAATTTGTCGTAACAATCCGGATAAAAACATCAACATGTATGTACAATACAAACCTCTACAATATGTACATACATGTATACCATATACATGTACATACAATACATGCACATTATTTCACACAAATATTGAATTGCAAACCTTTCTAAAAGATTTCTTGCTAATTTTAGTTTGGTGACCAGCTGTTGACAAGTCTTAGATAGATTATGTTTTTCCATTACAGTCTCATCAAATTTTCTTTTTAACTCAGCAAGCTCTTCTTCCAATAACTTCAAATAATCTTCAGACACATCCTCATCTTTATCATCATCAGTTGTAGCATGTAACTGATCATGGAACTGACATTTATGTTCTGGTGTCATATCAATAGGTACCTCCCTTTTTAATGCTAGGGTATATAATAGCATTAAGTAAGCACATTAGTTGGAGAAAAGAAATTACATACTATATAGTGCTTTACTATGGCGTAGCAAAACTTATGCAGCTTTCAGACAATAGTACACATACATGCATGTACTGTATGCATGAATGTGATTACAAGTTTTGCAATTTCAACTGCCATTCAGAGTATAGTAAATTCACAAAATCCTTTTTTGCAAATAAACCTAAATTTATAAATGTGCAAAAGTTTTGCTCAGTAAAGCACTACTAGTTTAATCCAAAACAAATATTCGAATTAATTAAATAAGTCCCAAAAAATTGCTAATCCATGTAAATGTACAAGTACATGCACAAGCGTGTTCTTCTTACACACAGTATAAACTAATAGTAATTTGTAAACATTCAAACTACAATGTACAAGCATCAAATACATTTTAAATATAACTGCACAACTGGTTTCTTTTGTGGCCTCCAACTTTTGTTGGTTAAATTATAATTGAAATCGTCTTTCGTATTTCACTAAATTGTTATTTGATCATAATGAAGCTTATCAAAATAAAATTAAGTAGATTTGAGCCTACACAAAAGAAACAGCCAATACAGCACTACATGTAACCATTTATTTATAGTACACCCGTACATTACATGAGTTAACCTTCAATATCCTTTTTAATCTTCTCAACTTTAAAAACGGCATTACTATGAGGTTCAAATGAATACTGGTATTGAACAATTGATACAGCAAACTCAAACAGGACTGACACTGCTTCTGAAGCATGTCTGGCCATTGATACAGATATAAGTGACGAGGATGTTGGAACTAGAGGAGGCTGACTACTATCACCATCATTACTACTACAATCATTATTGTAATTTGTTGACACATGTAATTTAGATTCTACTAAATTAACAGAATCCTGGCTCAGACCATCTTCCCATTTTAAACTATTGATAAGATCAAGGAAATGCTGTGAGTCCCCAATAGCCAATTGTAATTGTGTCCAGTAATCCTTCTCAGAGCTACTTTTAGAACTAGTAACAGTAGAAGACTTTCTAGTTAAAACAGTTGGACCAGTTAAAGGCGAGGAAGGAGTTGGAGTTGCTTTTAACAGTTGTAGCATTAGTTCCATTATCGTGCCTACTAGTGGTGGTGGGTTGGGTAATGTCTTTATTTCGTCTATTGTGTTACGATCTATTTTATTCTGCCAATACTGAGCCTGTTACAGTAAAATAAAAATACATTAATTAAGTTAATACTACTATTATTATTGGGCAAACCGCACTAAGATGAGAGTGAGTTTGTACAGGTAGGTCCTCTAACTATTATTAACATTAAATAGCCTAATCTTCATTCAAAGTGGGTGTGGTCACAATGAAATAAAATGGCAGCTATCAGCAAGTCTATGCTCATTTGATTGCAATAAACCAAAACGGTCAGCAAGTAAACTGCTATCCAAAAACTTCTGTAGCAGCAAGGAAGGTTTTACAGCACAATAATAATGCCGCTCATGGGCTGAGACCCTTCAAATGTTTCACATTCTTCTATTTATTATAAAAAATAGCAATCTGTATGATACAACACAGAAAAGGAGAGATTATAATGTTATTCATTTATTATTATATATTCCCAGCAAAAAAATCTTACTAAGATCTTGTATTATCTGATCAGATAAAGTAAGGTGAGATAAGAATTAAGAACAACCTTATAAGATCTTATTTGGATCAATCTTAGCTACTATATACAGGCATGATCTTACTTAAGATCTTACATGACTTATCTTACAATATCACTGATAAGATGTATATGCCTGATCTTACTTAAGATCTTACATGAATTATCTTACAATATCACTGATAAGATGTACAGGCCTGATCTTACTTAAGATCTTACATGACTTATCTTACAATATCACTGATAAGATGTACAGGCCTGATCTTACTTAAGATCTTACATGAATTATCTTACAATATCACTGATAAGATGTACAGGCCTGATCTTACTTAAGATCTTACATGACTTATCTTACAATATTACTGATAAGATGTATATGCCTGATCTTACTTAAGATCTTACATGAATTATCTTACGCTTCACATCATTTTAAGTCATACAAGATCTTGAAAGATCTTACAAGTTGCGTGATGTCACAGGAAGTAGTTGACAACCCACGATAGCCTTTACAAAAGTATGAGCATATAAAGAAAGCAAACTTTCAACAAAATTAAACTTAATTAAGCTATAATGACATCATTATTATGCATTTAAGCAATGTAAGTTCTTGCTCAGATCTGACAATTGCAGTCATTTTAATACTATGGGATATGCTTGGAATCCCAAATCCGAACTTAACTATTTCTTCAAGATCTTGACAAGATCTTACAATATCCTTCATGATATTAGTTCATAACAAGTAAGAGTCTTAAAAGATCATGCAAGATTTAATTCCAGATCTTGACTGATCATGTAAGATTTAGTTCCTGATCTTGCCTGATCATGTAAGATTTAGTGCCTGATCTTGACTGATAATGTAAGATTTAGTGCCTGATCTTGACTGATAATGTAAGATTTAGTGCCTGATCTTGACTGATAATGGAAGATTAATCGTCAGACCATGCCTGATCATGTAAGACTTATCATAAGATCTTGGCAAGATTTATCATAAGATCTTGGCAAGATTTTGGAACTTCTTGTCTAATGACCTTGCAAGAACAGGCATGATTAAACATGCAAGATCATTTGTAAGGTTTCATAAGATCTTAAGTAAGATCTTACGTAAGATTTTTTTGCT